CTGCAGTTCTCTGGGTCTGGGCCCGGCCAGTGAAGGTCGAGCTGGGGGGGCTGTCCCAGGGTGTCACCTCTCCTGGGGTGTCATCTCTCCTGGGGTGTCACCTACCTTGGGGTGTCACCTCTCTTGGGGTGTCACCTATCCTGGGATGTCATCTCTCCTGGGGACTCAGCTCTCTAGGGATGTCACCTGATTTGGGGTGTCACCTAATTTGGGGTGTCACCTCTCCGGAGTGTCACCTCTCCCAGGACTCAGCTCCCCAGGGGTGTCACCTAATTCAGGGTGTCACCTCTCCAGGGTGTCACCTCTCCCGGGGCTTCAGCTCTCCAGGGATGTCACCTATCTTGGGGTGTCACCTCTCCCAGGACTCAGCTCCCCAGGGGTGTCACCTCTCCTGGGGTGTGACCTATCTTGGGGTGTCACCTCTCACAGGGATTCAGCTCTCCAGGGATGTCACCTATCTTGGGGTGTCCCCTCTCCCGGGGTGTCACCTAATTCGGGGTGTCCCTTCTCCCGGGGTGTCACCTCTCCTGGGGTGTCACCTCTCCCAGGACTCAGCTCTCTTGGGGTGTCACCTAATTTGGGGTGTCCCCTCTCCCGGGGTGTCCCCTCTCCCAGGTCCCCATCCTCCCTCCCAGGCACCTTTGCTTCCTGAAGGTTCTGCCCCCACAAGAAGCCCCTTCCCAGCTGGAGCACTGGGAGCACTGGGAGCACTGGGAGCAGCACCCACGTCCCACCTGCTCCCCCCTGCTCTTGGGGTGCCAGGAGGAGCCTCATGGGGTGGTTTGAGGTCGGGGGGACTTCCAGGATCACCCAGTGGGCAGGGACTGGTCCCAGCAGCCCCACCCCCCTGTCCTGGGGACACACCAGGGATGGGGGTCCCCTCCACCTTCCCCAGCCCCCCGGGGCTTCTCCCAGCCCTGCTGCCCCCCCGGAGGGGGCAGGAAGAGGGGGTGCAGGAGATGGGGTGCTGCTCTGGGGTGCAGAAGATGGGGTGCTGATCTCTCTGCTCATGGGTGCAGAAGATGGGGTGCTGCTCTCTGTGCTCAGGGGTGCACAAGATGGAGTGCTGCTCTGGGGTGCAGAAGATGGGGTGCTGCTTCATATATTCAGGGGTGCAGAAGATGAGGTGCTGTCCTCTCGGGGGTGCACAAGATGGGGTGCTGCTTCATATATTCAGGGGTGCAGAAGATGGGGTGCTGCTCTCTCGGGGGTGCAGGAGATGGGGTGCTGCTCAGGGATGCGCAAGATGGGGCGCTGCTCTGGGGTGCACAAGATGGGGGGGGAGAGGATTTGGGGCTGGGG